CAGCGGCAGTATCAAATGAGCAGGGCACTGCAGCGGCAGTATCAAAATAAGCGGGGCACTGAAGCGGCAGTATCAAATTAAGCGGGGCACTGAAGCGGCAGTATCAAATTAAGCGGGGCACTGAAGCGGCAGTATCAAATTAAGCGGGGCACTGAAGCGGCAGTATAAAATGAGCAGGGCACTGCGGCGGCAGTATCAAATTTCATTTAACTGATCAGAATTAGATGGGCTTTCTTTGTGTGAAAATTATTGGTCCTGATATAGCTCTTGAAGGCGTCCAATGACCATCGACCGAGAGTTTGGATCTGCTGCTGTGAGAGGCCTTTTTGAGCTGCTGTAGTTACTGCCCCGATTCGGAAGGAGTGGCTGGAAAATCTTTTTACGGGTATGATTGGTTGGACAATGTTTATTGAACATCATTTGGATAGATTTTTTTGAGACCGAAAACGTGTGACGGCGTGGTTACAGTCATCGACAAAAAGAGGGTCAAGAGGGGATCTAGACTGAGAGCTTCTGAATTGTAGGCAAGAAAAAGTTCCTGATACGGTTGAATTGGTGACGGGAGGTTAAAAATTTTGACGTGGTGACCTCTTTTTCCTGATCTGATTTACTTTGTTTGATGAAATAGGAGATAGCTTCGCTGTCGAGCATGGAAAGGTCGGAGACGGTTGGATGGAGTTTGGGGTTGAATGGAAGTTATTGTGAATTCCAAGCATCTCAGGAAACCACAAAAAGCCAGTATGAACATTGCGTAGAGTCTACGAGCGGTATGAAGTGAGTGGTACCCTGTGCGGAGAATGTGGATACATTAAAGAATGTTGAAAGTTATCGGCTGTCTAGCGTCCGGGCTTGGCGGATGAGAGCGCTGAATTCCTTTGATCAAAAGAGATGTTTGAGAATTGTTTATTTCAGGAGAGGGGGCGCCGTAGATTAATTTGTGAAAAAAATTGGATGCCGCTTAGATAACTTTTGATTGACCGGGCTTGGAGTTTCTTACAGGTGTTAAGGTAGGAAACGAAAGATGTGATTGAGAGGAGGAAGAAATCGGGAAATGGCAGGTTGTACGAGAGGTGGAAAGCTTTAAATCATCTCCAAGCAATTAGATAAGACTGGATGGTTCTGGGTGAAACTGCTTGGAGGATCGAACCGAGTGACGCGTTGAGGAGGTTTTAAGGGATATGTTATGGGAATACGAGTTGCGAATAGTGAGGTACTGGGGTTGGCGCTGGGTCCGCCTCCGGAGCCAGCGCTCTGAATTTCTGCGAGAAACTGAGACTTGATTGTATTAGGCACAGGGGGTGGTTCCTGAGCTGCAGCATTTGGTGAGGTAGGTAGTGAGACTGCTGTGAATAAAATGTACTGAGGTTTAGATTGGAGAGAAGGGTTAGAAGGAAGATAAGGAGGGGCCGTAACTTTTTGCAGAGGCAGCCTCACGCACGGATTAGCCTCTGGTGCTTAGGGAAGCACTTAGGAAGAGGTAGAAGGAAATGAGGGAGGAGGCCAATAAGCTTGCGTTGCTGGTGGCTTTCTTTGTGTGAAAATTATTGGTCCTGATATAGTTCTTGAAGGCGTCCGATGACCATCGACCGAGAGCTTGGATCTGCTACTGTGAGAGGCCTTTTTGAGCTGCTATAGTTACTGCCCCGATTTGGAAGGAGTGGCTAGAAAATCTTTCTACGGGTATGACTGGTTGAACGATGTTTATTGAACATCGTTTGGATAGATGTTTTTGAAACCAAAAACGTGTGACGGGGTGGTTACAGTCATCGACAAAAAGAGGGTCAAGAGGGGATGTAGACTGAGAGATTCTGAATTGTAGGCAAGAAAAAGGGCCTGATACGGTTGGATTGGTGACGGGAGGTTAAAAATTTAGACGTGGTGACCTCTTTTTCCTGATCTGATTTACTTTGTTTGATGAAATAGGAGATAGCTTCGCTGTCGAGCATGGAAAGGTCGGAGACGGTTGGATGGAGTTTGGGGTTGAATGGAAGTTATTGTGAATTCCAAGCATCTCAGGAAACCACAAAAAGCCAGTATGAACATTGCGT